AAGGGGCAGGGTGGGGTGAATCACTAAAGAACTGATTACAGCGGCAAGAGTAGCTTCATTAAAAACTGCTAGATTACTGAAGAGTGGGTCAACTGATAAGACCCTGGCATAGCTTCCCCAGTGGAATCAAATCTGAGCTAATCTTGCAAGTCAGAAGCTGATTCATGAGGAAGCGTTGCTGTTTGTTTCCCAGGCAAACAAAGGGTCTGCAAAGGTTTGCAGGAATCCCTGGTGCCAAGTAACTGCATATGCAAACAACTGACCAGGAAGAGAAATACTAGACATAGAAGCTTAGGGGCCAAACAGGAAAACCTTACTAAAGAACATTAAGGAGACAAATGTTATGTCAGCAACTTTGTGCACATACTAAATATTTTTTAATATCTTTTAGAATATTTTATCCTCATATTTATGTATGTGATTAGTATTATCCAAGAACAAACCAGATCACGGAAAAGTAAGGTAACTGTGTGAAGTAGTACCAGTACCATGCTAAGCACTAACTGGGCTGGTTAAAGATTGGCCTGTGTGTCCCTAAATTTGCCAATAGAAGTACTAACCTAATCTTCAGTATCTCCCACTGTGACACTGTATAGACATAGGACAGTAACCAAGTAAAAGACAAAGTTATGCTGAGGTGAGAGTCTAAGCCACTATCAACTCCCGTCCCTGTAAAAAGGAGAAATGTGGATGCATACTCATACCACGAAATGATACATCATGACCGTCAAGTTTATCAACAAGTCAAGAAATAAATGTCCAGGTGGCCAGCAAGCTGACGGTGGCTAGCAAAGAGGCCCTTTACCCTCTGAAGGAGCCAGCTCTGCCAAACTGCAGGCTGCCAGAGTTCAGAATGGACAAATGTCTGTTACCGAATTTGCCCATTTTGTGTCAGTTAGGTACTACTGTGTGTCCATCTCGTCTGTATGCTACAGTCTCCTTTCAGAACAGTGAAAGCTCTAAGAAGAGGAGAAGGGATAGCTATTCTCTGCTCTCTTCTAGAAGCAGCCTGGGCTCCTTTGCCTGGCCAGCTGAATACTCCATTAGACTCATGGAGGAAAGAGAAAGAGAGAGGGAAGTTTGTAGGGCAAAAGGAGAAAAAACGTAAAAGACAGGGATGGAGGGAGGGAAGGAGAGAAGGAAGGAACGAAACAGGAAGGAATGAAATCCACATATTTTTTTTGTAAAACAGCTTAGCATTGATGTCTTCTCTGTGGGCCAGGGACTTCACTACAAAATGCCTCATTTTTATAGATCTCCGAATAAGTCTCTCAAAAAGCAGTTTTTATTACTTCCTGTTTATACACTCATTCCTCTTTGACTTATACAGACCAAAGCAAAGCACTGGACCCGATTCTTGTCTCTGCACCTTTGTCTGATGGTAAAAGGAAAGTCCTGACATTTGGGGAGGGGACCTTCTTTGGTTCTCTTATTACAGCAATTCATCTTTCTTTGGGGGAAAGGAGAGAGCTGACATTGAATGGAGACATTTCTGTCGAATCTTTCTCTGGTGACTCATAATCTAAAGCTGCTGAATCCAGGGAAGGAAGCTTTAACCACAGCATTTAATCTTATGGAGACATTTACTGCAGAGCCTCTTGTTTTGGCTTGTTTAATATAAACCACAGGAGAGGTGTTTCTTGGTTATATCATTTCATAAAGCAGAGTGAGAGATGAAGCAGTCCTGCTTCAGAATCACTGTATATTCTGCAATGCTGTAGGCGATCTCAGCCTTGAAATACCATCAACAGGAACACTAACACTAACGACTGTAATGACAACTAAAATCCACAGAGGAACTGTGGGAAAGAGCCAATGATTCCTGGAGTCAGGCATACCTGGACTTTCTTTACAGTTCTGACTTCCCAGTTACATTCCCACAAGCAAGGTGTCTTTGCAAAGTTCAGCTTTCTCTCTATAAAACAAGAGAATTAATGCTCTTTAGAATGTTGTTATGGCTAACACTATGGAGTATTGATGGTAAAACTCTTAGCACATGATAAATATTCACACTGTTATTTGCATTATTACAAGGAAATACATAGTCGATTGCATGCCTGGAAATTATTTGGGAATATTTTCGAGTGCCTAGTATGCAACCCAGGAGCAGTTATTATTGTTTGTCTCCACTTTGCAGACAAAATAATTAAATGGCATGCTCCTGCTTATTGGTTCAGAAGTTGCAAAGCAGAACTTCCCTTGGGTCTGAAAAACATAACAAGTTTCATCTTCCTGCAAGTGTTATTAGTTCCTGCAAGTGTTATTAGTTAAAGTTGGCCATTGTAAAACCTATAAAGTCAAAGAACATAATTCACGGTTCCTTCAAGTTTCACACCAGTTTACAGTGACACTGGAAATGCCATCTTAGTTAGGGTTTCTATTATTATGAAGAGACACCATGACCATGACAACTCCTATAAAGGAAAGCATTTAATTGGGTGTCTCACAGTTTCAGAGATTTAGGCCATTATCACCATGGCAAGAAGCATGGCAGTGTGCAGGCAGACATGGTGCTGGAGAAGGAGCTGAAAGTTCTACTTCATGATCCACAGACAAGAAGAAATGAAAGGTGTAGCCTGATCATATGACACCTCAAAACCCACCCCCACAGTGACACACTTCTTCCAACAAGGTCACACTTACTTCAACAAGGCCACAACTCCTGATAGTGCCACTCCCTAGAGGACAAGCGGTCAGACACAAGAGTCTATGCGGGCCACACCTATTTAAATCACCATACCGCGCAATTGATTAACTGTGCCTCACATCTGAACTTTAAAGGGAATCTGCATTCTCAAGAGAATCAATGGTGATTTTAGGTGTAACTATTAACAAAGGTCCATCTCAAAATATCTTCAGCAAATGGGACATTGTTCACGCCTGTTTCTGACATCCCTAAATCCCGTTGCATGCCCAGCAGGACCCGGGCTCTGTTCTAACCTCTCCTTTCCATGTGTTTCATTCTCAGCTCTGCTTCCCTCTGTTGACCAGCTTTCCTGCCAGAGTATTTAAATACAAGCATGCACCAAAAGTCTCAGCATCCATCCTCACTGCCTGATAGTCTCACCAGATGCCAGGCCTCCTTGGCTTCTAAAGTCTGTTGGTCAATGAACAGTCCATTCAGTTTTAAGAAGATGTACTGTTGAAGGAACATTTTAAATGACAGCTTCACAAAGATTATTTGGAATAGAAAATAGCATCTCCAAGAAAGGGTTGATGGAAAAGTTATCTAGGAGAATGGAAATTTATCCTGAGAAACTCAATCCAGGGAGTACTCTATTCATTAGAGGTTTAATCGAGCAGAAATTGCTGAGCTTAAGCCCAGAATGAGATTGGAATATGCTAGCTATGGGCCTCTGGTGCTGCTGAGAACTTTGAGTCACTAGTAGAGGAGAGGTCGGGTTAGAGCTGGGCCTTGGGAAGGCTGAGCAGAAACGTGAAAACAGGGCTGCAGATGGGAGAGGGAATTGTCTTTCTATTTTGCTCCCATGGTACTCTGTATCATGAAATGTGCCTGTGCCTCCTGACCTCCAGAGAATGAGACTCTGAAGGAAGGACATCCTTCCCTGACTGTAACTGGCAGCAGAGGCCACAGTCTCTGCCAGCACAGCAGACCAGGGGCCGAAGGCGGGTCCTTGAATGTTGGACCTGATACAATACCATTTGGAATCAACTTAAAGTGTCATTACCTACACTTACAGTCTTTAAACACAGGACAGAGAACTTAGAAATCTGAGTTGGATGAAAAAGTTATTTAGGTGGAGGGATACACTGGGTTACACTGAGTAAGTCAAACTACACTGGGTGTGTTATCCACTTGATCAGATGTTGTCAACCTATAGGTCAAAGAACCCTTTCATGAGGATCATGTATAAGATATCCTACATATAAACTATTTACATTATGATTCATAACAGTTGTGAAGTAGCAAAGAAATAGTTTTATGGTTGGGGAACACCAGAACATTGAGGAACTGTATTAAAGGGCCTCAAAATTAGGAAGGTTGAGAACCACTGCATTAGAGGTTTGGTCGAACAAAAATTGCTGGAATGGACCAATCTATCTTGAGAACAAACTATGCAATTCATGGGCTTCTAGACCTGAAGAGATGTTTGAGACATGATCAGAGAGGCCCTGTGGTAGCTGAGCTCCTTCCCTTGCCTCTGCAGGGTCTTCGTGAGTTCACAATACCCAAGCTTCAGTTACTTGTTCTTTAAAATGAAAGCAAAATGTTCAGTTGCCAATTGTCAATAATGCAATATCTGGCTCAAATAAGGGTTCTTGCATGTAGATGGCATTCAAGGTTATTATTTATTTAGTTTATTTATTTTATGACAGGCTCTCATGTGCCCAGACTTAACCAGAACCAAGGACCAAGAATGACTGGACTTCTGGGCCCTCCTCGTCTTGGTTATAAGCATTCACCATCACATCTTGCTTATGTAGTGTTGGGAAAAGAACCCAGGTCTTCATGTTGGGGATTAAACACAGATCCTCAAGCAGGCTAGGCAAGTACTCTATCAGCTGAGTTACATCTCCAAGTGTTCTAAATGTACTTAATGTTAACAAATCATCTTGTTTATTTGTTCTTTGCATCTCTGTACAGCAGGACTCAATCCTGAAGCAAAGAAGAGGTTTACCCAAAGCCATGCTATCCAAAGCATGGGTTAATCTACAGATCCAACTTTGAGCAAGTTTCAGAAAACAGAAGCCTAAGCGGAAGGGCGGGGCAGCATCAGTTCAGAGGTGAGCAGAACAGACTTGTGGAAAGACTCCAGACCCCTCAGCACAGACTTCAAGCTTCCTCCTGTCAGCAACCACAGCCTGGGACAACTGCTCCCTCCCCAACCTTCAGGGTGGCTGCAGCAGGTGGTGAGGAGAAATCTGGTTCCTGCCCAGCAACAGCCTCTGTGCGTCCTTAGCAACCGGAGAGCAAGGCCCCTGCCGAGAGCCAGGTCCTGTGATTGGCTGGATTCCGAAGCTCCTTGCCAACATTCTGGGTTGCTTTTCAGACAGAAGCACTCGCACCTCTGAACTTCCTGGGTAGGAAGCTCCACTTTGGCGGTAAGAATGCCTGCCCCTTTGGTCCCTCTTTGGGACGGTCTCAAGGCTGATGTCCCACTGTGGGGCAAATCGGAAACCTAATAGTCTCAAATCCCAGTTTTGACTTTCTACACCCACAGCTTCAGAGTGCCTGAGGTGGGCTGGATGGGTCTCTTCTGGGCTTTAGCGCTGTATACATTAAGTAAACCGTATTCTAGGGAAGGACCCTTCATGGCTGTTAGAGCAGACACTGGAGAGACCTCTACCCTCTCCTTCCCCCTCCAATCTGGAAGACATTTGTGAGAAAGCTTTTGGGTGGCCATGTCTCAATCAGCGAAGCCAGTGTTTAAATTTGAGCAAGTTCTAGATGCCTCTTGAATTTTCTGGAAAGAAGTGATCAGCCGGTCTGGCTTAAACATCCTGGGTTCATCTTCAAGCAGGTTTTCTTTTCTTTCCTTTTCTTTTAAATTTTTAATTTATTTTACATACTATCACAGTTCCCTCCTCCTTTCTTTCCTCCAGTTCCCTTCCCCCACCTCCTTTCTACCCCATCCCCACCCACTCCTCAGAAAGAAAGGGTTAGGACTCCCCATAGGGAGTCAACAAACCCAGGAATCTCAAGTTGAGGCAGAACCAAGCTCCTTCCTCCTGTGTCGGGGTTGAGCAAGGAAGGCATCCCACCACCATAGCGAGTGGGTTCCAAAAAGCCAGCTACAGAGTCTGGTTGTTGTGGGTACAGATGGGAGCTAAGGACTCCTCTTTAAAGTAAAATGCTTCTTCAATCACTTTATCTTCTGGATTTACCAGAAGTCTCTGAGCATAACAGGAATCACAGATGGTGAACAGGAGTATCCTAGCTGATCTTTGATTGGAGTGTTCTAGTAAAGCCCAGCTTTCAACTCTGGCCACAGGACAATCCCATACCAGGCCCTGTAGTGCAGAAAGATTGTAGTCATCTAAGGACTCAGTATGTGTACTTTGTAGTCCTAATGGAATTGACAGCTCTAGCTACACCTACCTATTTCCTCAGTAGTAAAGAAAGAAGAGTGGTGGTTTTTAATAGAACCTCACACCCTGCCTGGGGGGACTACTTGGCCTTTCAGCCTGAACTCACTTCCTGGGAAACATGGTAGAAGAAAACTGATTGCGTCGGGTTCTTCTCTGAATCACACACACACACACACACACACACACACACACACACACACACACAC